TTTCTCATTTAAGCTTTTACTTGAGAGTCAAGAATCTTGTCTGAATTAGAATTAAATCTAAATTAAATACTCCAGTTACTTTTTACTGTCCTGAGATGTTGGAAATGAACAACATCCTCGCCAAGTAATAAAGTTGATTCTTTGGTTTTGAGACAGTCTCATGTGGCCCAGTTCACATCCCAAGTGTTGGGGATTAATGTAAGTGCAAGCTCTTGGTTGACTTTCAATTAATGATACTAGGAAAATGTTCTGTTGATGAATTGATAAGAAATTGATCTTCACGTTCATTGCCTTTCTAAAGACAAATAGAAGTCTTGACTGTGGTCAAAAAAGTAAGGCCATATATCTTGGAAGCTACAGTCAGAATTAGGGAAAGAGTATGATCTCACAAATATAATCAGAGATACTTCTTTCCAGAAATTGGTAGAAATCCTAAAAAAGAAATGTTATTGTACATATAGAAGAAATGAACTATTCCTCTTTCATTCCAGGGTTTTTTTGTTTTTTTGTTTTTTTTTGATGAAGAAGTAAACCATACAGATTGTCAACATGGGACGGAGATCAACATCATCCACCAAGAGTGGGAAATTTATGAACCCCACAGACCAAGCTCGTAAGTCCCATTCATTGGGAGTGATGAAATGGAAAGTGCTAAAATTGCAGAGAATCTGTTTCTTTGTGGTTTAATTACAAAATCAGGAGTAGTATGGGTAATTGTGTAAAGTCATGTAGTATTCGTTTGGGCACACAAAATGTTTCTGATGAGGGACTGGAGAGACAGCTCAGTGGTTAAGTGCACTGGCTGTTCTTGCAGAAGACCTAGGTTCAGTTCCCAGCACCCACATGGTAGCTAACAGTTGTCTCCAAGTCCAGATCCAGGAAATCCAATGCCCTCTGCTATGCGGGCAGTACACACACATGATGTACTTATATATGTGCAGCCATAAGTCAAAAGAAATTAATGTTTCAATATAAATCAATTAATAGCCTTATTTCATTTCTCAGATTTGACTGGCTTGCAAGATAGAATGGGATTAAGGCTTTGGAATTTTAAACATCAGTTTTTGCCAAGTGCTTGTTTATTTTTTTAGAGTGCCTTTTTCCTTACAATTCATTTATTTCTATGAAAACAAAAATGTTAGACATTTTGGATTGTGATGATTAGAAGGATGTTGTTGTCATCTAGTAGGTACAAGCCACAGATACTGTCACATAGCCATATAGGGCACAGGATAACCTGACAGTAAAGAGTTTTCTATATTGTCTTGGGGAAAATGTTAACCTTCAAGATTTAAAAGTTGTATCATCTCTCCCCCTCTCCATCTTAGGAAAGGAAGCCCGGAAAAGAGAACTGAAGAAGGTATGAATTCAGAAACGTTCTGTATATTCTTTGAGATTTGTGGATTTCAAAATATTTGCAGTTATTTGCCAGAAAAGATACTTTATCCTTAGGAAAACCATAAAATTTACTGTTTAAAAATTGTAGAGCCAGGCATGGTGGCACATGCCTTTAATCCCAGCACTTGGGAGGCAGATCTCTAAGGCCAGCCAGGTGAGTTCCTGGTCAGCTGGGGCTACAGGCAGACCCTGTCTCAAAAAAGATTAAAAAAAAAAAAAAAAGTTGTTTTAACTTGCAGGTTAAGTTTATGATGATTGATAACACATTTGATTCTTTTTCTCTGTAAGTTAAAAAATACTGTTGAAAATAGTTCTTAAGCCAGATGTGGTAGCGAATGCTTGCATTCTCAGCACTTAGGGGGTGTAGATTAGAGTATCAGGAGTTCAAGGCCAGCCTAAGCTACATCAGACCCTTACTACTTACCAAGACATAACTGGCAGTAAATGTGATACTAGATGTCTTTGCCTATCTCATGTGATTAAGTTTGTGACAGGGTACTTAAAAGAATAACCATTTGGTGCCACTTTCCAATGTACTAAGGGAACTTAGACTTTTCATAATCTGTTGTGTGCTCTTCTTTATTGTTTAGCCTTGAATCTAACTTCCCTGTTCTCACATACTATTTTTTTTACTTTAACTGCAAACTTTTTTTTTAAAGTGGGTTGTTTGCGTAAGTAATTACTAGAAATCTATCTGGGTTAAAAGAAATAACCTAAGAAAGTACATCTTTGTTACTAGTCTAAACATTGTGAGCAAGAAGTTATCTAGCTGTTTTTGGTAGTTTAAACAAGTGATTAGAAACGAAGGGAAAACTCAATTCTTAAATAAATTTTTGAAGATAATTGAAATAAAAAGTCCTGCACATCTAGCTGCTTTTTTGTTTGTTTGGTTTTTGTTCTTTGTTTTTTGAGACAGCCTCCCTGTAGCCTCAGCTGGCCTGTAATTCCCTGTAGACTAGGTTGGCCTCTATCTCACAGAGATCTGCCTGTCTCTCCCTCCTGAGTGCTGGGATTAAAGGTGTGCACCACCATGCCCAGCCATGCCTAGCTTCTTAAAAATGGCTTTCTTTCATTTTTCTAAGAACAAAAAACAACGCATGATGGTACGAGCTGCAGTTTTGAAGATGAAAGATCCCAAACAGATTATCCGGGACATGGAGAAATTGGATGAAATGGGTAAGAATATATAAAAAGGCAGGATTTAATAGCAGCTATCAGAGTCTGCTGAACACAGAAGCAAGTTGCATAGATCAGGAAAGCAGAACAGCGTGATGGCATTGGACACCAGATTTCTTTTGTTGTTGTTGGTTGACTGGTTTGTTGACAAGGGTCTCACTTCGCAGACATAGCTGACCTTGAACTTACTATGTAGACCAGGCTGTCCTGGAGCTCAGACTTGCCTGCCAAGTGCCAGAATAAAGACATGCACCACCACATGTTGATCTCATTTTACTGTTGAAGGAACACTTGGAGAGGTAGGATCTGTTGAAAACAGGAGATCCCATGTCCTAGAAGAGGGAACCCATCATTTAGTTTGGGCTAATTACTGAGGTAAAGGAACAGAAACTGAGTTGGGCCAGCTCATTTTTCAAGAATCATTTGATTGATGAAATCACCTTGGAGTTTATTGTCATTTGGTTTTATGTGTATTCGTCTGCATATATGTAAGCATACTACATGCAGTGCCCACAGGGACCAGAAGAAGGGGTCAGATCTCCTGGAACTGGAGCTACAGTTGTTAGCCCCCATGTGGGTGCTGAGAACTGAACCTGGGTCCTCTACAAGAGCAGCCAGTTTCTTAAGTGTTTCTCCAACCCATTTTGTTTTTTAATGTTGACAACTACCATGTGAGTCCATTATTAGGTCACTGAATAGAAAGTAATTTCTCCTCATTTTTTCAATGGCAAGATCCAGAAAGATACCTTAAGGTGAAGATATCGAAGAAATGATCAGATACAGATGCTTCTGAGTTTGTGATAGAGTCAGATCCCAGAAAACCATTCATAAAATAAAAAAAAAAATAAATTAGCATA